AAATCAGCATCCAACATAGGAATCAGAGGGGATGGTGGCATCATAAACCATCCCGCGGGAACCATACCCCTTATTTCCTAAGCTGCTAGACAATTCGCCGCCTTGTTTCCTAACCTACTAATCCAAAATACTTTCCAATTTTGTTTAGATGATGGGACATCCAAACGCTTTTGCACTATTTCATAATAGCACCACTCACCACCACAAGAATTCCTCCTCTTTAGAAAGTGGTCGAAATTTAAAACGATTTTATTGCTCTTTAGTGAACTTATGTTTGGCTTCCATGTAATTATTACTACCCCGTTCTTAAATTTCAGGATTAGTTAATGGTCATAAATATAAGATTTTAATTCATTTTATCTTTTAGATTTATAATATGTTCTCAAAAATTACCCCATTGATTGTAAGATATTTTCACCCAAGTATAGTTTTAATGTACATGATTGAATAAGGATAATTTAAGAAAATCAACATACATGTAAACGAGTAGAAATGTCTTCATTGTCTTGTACATTAACTTGTAAATAATAATATAATTTTATAAAAAAATTTAATTTAAGATTTAGTAATTCCATATTCTTTCGTGGGATTTTCTCCACAAAAAAAAATATTTCTCATTAGTTGGACTTTTTTCCTAGCGGTGAAAATAGTTCAATAATAAGGATAACTTAGAAAAAATAATTAATATGAAAAGCTAGGAAGTATATAATTTTAAAGGGATTATGATCTTGAACAAAACCAAATTAATTTCTCAAACAAGAAAGAAGTGCTATATCCGATTCTTAATGTAAAAGCTAGTTTGATATTCAATTTGATTTTAAATATAAGATCCTGTCATGAATCTAACAAATATTTGTGGGACCCAAGGAAGACACGTGGCTTGTGATCGCCTTATTAGTGTGGTGCCTCTGCGTGATGCCGCTATAGATAACTGGATAAGAAAGGAATCCCAACAACCTGACTGAGGCCATATATCAAGGGAGGGTGCTAGTGAAATGTGTGGTGTTCTCTTTGGTCCCATTCTTGGGAATATCTTTGTGGCTCTTGTCTCCTTCCTCTCTCCCAGTATCTTATTTCCTCTATTTTTGTCAATTTGTTTACAGTAGTATTTGAATGTATTTTCATATGCTGGATTGAATATTATAAATATACTTGTGATTCCATTGTATTGAGATATTTTGGATTTAGTCCATTACAAATGGTGCTTTCATTGAGAGGAACCCCTTCTGAAGCCAAACTAGATGAGCACGAAGCAGGGATCAAGCAGTTTGCTACTAAGATAGAACCATGTGCTTCTAATATGATTACAAAAATGGATCGCATTATTTTGAAACTAGAATCGCTAAATTCTAAATTCAACGCTAACATCGAATCTGATGAGGATAGTTCTATTGTTCAGAATGAGGCTGCCAGTGTTGTGATGAAGGATGTATCTCGCTTGGACCGAATTGAAGTGATGTTAAAACTCAGGGGATTAATCAGTGATTCCCCCACCCTCTCAAAGTCCAAGCCTTACAGTGCACTCGCCGTCACCTTATGAATCTTTTTTACAGCCAGAAATGAAGTCGTCACAGAGTCATCCCTCCCAAGAATTTGATATTCATCAGTCTTCCTTTTTTCATGATAAGGTTGAAGTTCTATGGTCAACAGACTATCAAACTATTCACGAGCAGAGTGATGGGATAGACGATCACCAAGTGGATACCGATGATCATAACATTACTGACTCTATGGAGCAACCTGAACATCATCGTGATACATCCTGTATGGACCGAATTGATGCTCTAATTGTGGCAAGGAATCAATATGAATCTTCTTGTCTTGACCGAATTGAGACTACCATTGCCGCGATGATGCGTCAATCCAGATTAGCATATGCGCTTATATCCTTGCTGGCCACTAGAAATATGAGTTCAAACTCTTCTGTTGACCCACCAACACCATCACTCCAGCCCATTTCACAATCTGATATTACGATTTCACAAAATCATCCTTCTCCTTTGTGTTTTAATGGTGACAATGCTCCATTGCACATGAATAGTGAGATGCAATTAGTTTCTAAACAAAGAGATGAGATAGTCGATCCCATCGTAGTGAGCTCTGCTGCTACATCATTTGTCCCCGAAGTGGCAACCGATGACCATATGCTTACCTACATTGCCGACTCTGCTATTGTGAGCTCTGTTGCAGTCCATGAGTTCATCGAGTCCCAGAAGTTTTGTCAATCAAGGGTATTACAAGGCTTTGGCGGTTGCTTACTTATGATTGGAGACTTCCTCATGGCTTGCAATTTATATGGGTATTCGATCCTGGTTCCATTATTCATGATGAATTTCTACTTCTGCCCTGTTATTGTTATGGTAGAACTTCTCTCCTGCCTTTTCTATATTTGCCTTTGTCGAATGATGATAGCTTGGAGAAGCAATCTATATGCCATCATTTTGTTGGGATTTTTGAGATTGATTTGATTTTGTGGAATTTATTAATTTGTGGGTATGAATATCATTGGGTGTATGAGAAGGGAATACATATCATTAGCCTCGCCATTGTTGTTGAATATAATATAGTGGAGTCTATAGTGCAGTCTCTTCATTTCATTGCCATATTTTATTATCGTGTGGTTATGAGTTATACTCTGTTTCTGTTTCACTGTATTGGAGTTGAGTTCCAACAAGAGTAGGGTATTGGATTGTATCTTATTTATGTTTTCGATCCTGGAACTATGAAATTACAAAATGTCCTGTGGCTTATATTAGTTGTGCAAGATGGACTCATCTTAAGCTTATTTCAACACCTTGCAGTATACGAGCTTTTTACCTTTGTATTCAGCGTCCTTCAACCCCTTGAATGGCTAATCATTGGGCAGTATCATCTACTATATATTCATTTGGATTATATCTCTGCTATGAACCTGTCTGATCAATTCATGGAAGATGGAATGTCTCAACAAAATTTAAAGAAGCTATCTAGGGCGATTGTGCTCACTCTGGCTTATCTAAGTCTTGGAGTAGTTTATGGAGGCTTTAGCACTTTCCCTCGTTATATTCAAAAGACCATCTTCTCACGAAAATTAGGCAATCATCATCTGATATACATTTGTTTGGATTATATTCTTGTATCTGATCACAATATCACTAATGAGAAATTTTGGGCCGACCTACTTGTCGCAGGGATTAGGGGTGGCACTATGGAATTTGCAAGACTTTGGATGTGTAAAGTGCTCAATTTCTATTGTTATACCAATGTGCTGTCCTATTTTTAGCATGCCATCTTATAGTCAAGGTTTATGGGAATTAATAGCCAACATTGGTTTGATTGATATATTCAGAGGCCTCATTTGGACTTATTTTAAAATTCTGGCGCTTGCTATGAGTATAGAAATCTTGTTCAAAGAGCAAAATGTGCAGCATAGCCTTTATTTAGTTGGCTATCTATTTTCAATGAAGCTGATTGGGTTTGACCCCAAAATTATTGTGTTTCTCCCTCTTCTTGTCATATTCTCTTATGTAAGGACAAAGCCTATCTTGGCTTTTTACTCTTATGAATAGCACCATATATGCAAGCTTTATATGACAGAGAATCTCAAACTCTTTAGTCACATTTATCCTCATTTTGACCTTGAGGACGAGGTCAATCTTTATGGGGAGGGTAATGTCATGAATCTAACAAATATTTGTGGGACACAAGGAAGACATGTGGCTTGTGGTTGCCTTATAAGTGTTGTCTCTGCATGATGCCGCTATAGATAACCGAATGAGAAAGGAATCCCAACAACGTGAAACTGAGGCTATAACTGAGGCTATATATCAAGGGAGGGTGTTAGTGAAAAGGATGTGGATGAATTGTATGGTTTTCTTTCTGGTCCTATTCTTGGAATATCTCTGTGGCTCTCGTCTCCTTCCCCTCCCCCAATATCTTATTTCTTTTGTTTCTGTCGATTTGTTTATAGTGGTATTTGAATGTATTTTTAGATGCTCGGTTGAATATTATGAATATACTTGTGATTCCATTGTGTTGAAATATTTTGGATTTAGTCCATTACAGATCTCAACTCACTTTTATATTTATTTATTTTTTTAAGATAATCCTTGTAGTAATTACACAGGTTAAATATTCCACCAAATGATAATTTTGACTAATACACATGATTAATAAGGGTATTTTAGAAAAGATTACACCTATTTATTACAAATAACTAAATTAATTAATTTTCTTAATCTCTTTAAATCAATCAATTAACTCTTATATTAAAGACAAGATGTAATATATAATTTTAAATCCAGATCCACTATTTCTTTTACTTTGAAAAAAGTTTTTAAAAAAGGACAAGGCACCCATATTTTTCAGGCCATATCACTTAAGGCCTGTTTGGAACAACTTATAAATAACTTTTTAATCATAATTTACAGAATACAAAATAAGTATATGAAAAAAGTTTTATCTCAACTTATATAAATCGTGTTTAAAAAGAACTTTAATCGCTATCCCAAACAGGTCCTTATTAAGTTAGCAAGGCGTCAAGGAAAAAACAAGTCGTTAAAAAGTTCCAAAGTCCCATCGAGCAAGTCAATAGCATCAACTTGTTATTAATTTTAGTTTTATTAGCTGGATGTTAGATATTTTTGTTTTTCAACGGGAGCCAGCTTTCAAGTTTGAACTTTGAAGTTTGAACGCTTAAGAGCTCAGGCGGCTAATTAATGCTTGACTAATACTCCTCCGATCTTTAATATAAGACTCATTTAATTAATTTGATTAGATTAAAAAAGTTAGTTAAATTAGTTAATTATAAGAAAAGTGACACATTTTTCTTAAAACACCGTAATCATATTTCTTAATACCTCATCTCCCTCTTCTACTTGATTATGGTTGAAGGAGTATCCACAGAAGTAATCTAAAAAAAATTGATAAATATGATAAATGGATCTTATATTTAGAACAAAACCAATTTAAAAATTGAGTTTTATATTAAATAACGGAGGAGTATTAATCATTTAAATATTCTTACTGACAAAGTCGGATTGCTTCATCGGACCTCATGAAATCCCCCTCCTCCAGTGCTACTTTGACTGGAACACCACAAGACGGAAACAATCTCATTGAAGCCTATCATCAAACATGGATCCTTCAACGCTAGCCATCCCTGCAGTGATATTTCTCTCGTTTCTCTTCATCCTAACACAGCGTCGGAAACACAGCAGACATGGCCAGAATGGGAGACAGCCACCGCCAGGTCCACCGGCTCTGCCGATCATCGGTAACCTCCATTTTTTGGGTCAACTCCCCCACCGCGACCTTCAATCCATGTCCAGAAAGTATGGACCCATCATGTCCTTTCGGTTAGGACAAGTACCGGCGGTGATAATTTCCTCATCGGAAGCCGTCCAAGCGTTGCTCAAGGCCAACGACGCTGTTTTTGCCAGCCGTCCCAGGCTTCAAGCCAACGACATCCTTACCTATGGATCCAAAGGCATCGTATTTTGCCAGTATGGACCTTACTGGAGGAACATGAGGAAATTGTGCACCTTGCATCTTCTCAGTGCGTCAAAAGTGGAGTCTTTCGCTCCTCTGAGGAGGGAAGAGTTGCAGGCCGTTGTCAAGTCCCTTGAAGAAGCTGCGGCGGCGCGTGAGGTTGTAGACGTGAGCCAGGTTGTGTCCGGGCTTATAGAGAACATTGTCTATAAAATGATACTGGGGTGTCACAACGCTGACTTACTTGATTTGAAGGTGTATATTCACGAAGCAATGAGGCTCACCGGTGCTTTTAATCTAGCGGATGTCGTGCCTTGGCTTGGGCGATTTGATCTTCAGGTATGAAATAAACTCCGTTATCTTTTATTTTCCTATTTTTTCCCCGAATTTTAGAGGCACTGTACATTTTTTTATTTTAAAGAAAACTTTTTTGACGACATGATTGAACCAACTTTGTTAAAAAATACATAGGATACCCTGAGTCTAATGGAATCACTTCGCCTAGACGTTGGGCACATATGTGGGGTCATTCATAGTGATAATCAATTATACTACCTCATATTCTTAATATGCTAGCAAATTTGATTTTTAATTTAATTTTAAATATAAGACTGTAATCAGTTTTATTTTTTATGTTTATTTTTTTTCAAAATAATTTTTTTAATAATTACATATGTTAAAGATTTTATTAAAATAATAGTTTTAATTAATATGCATGATTAGCAATAATATTTTATGAAAACAGTAACTATTTATTGTAAATAACTAATTTAACAAATTTTTTTATTCTCTTCAAACTAGTGAACTAATTTTTATATTAAAGAGAGTAGGTAAAATCAAATAAATAGTACTGGACCCTTAATCAATTGAAGTTGTGCTATACGATTAGGGACTGAAACGAGCCATCACAAAAATCAGTAAAGCATTTGACGAAATACTAGAGAAGATAATTGAAGAGCATGAAGGTGCTATTAACTCACCAAAGGACCGACAAGACTTCATAGACATACTGCTCTCATTGATACACCACGCCGTGGATGGACAAAACTATGGCATTGAACGAACCAACATTAAGGCTATTGTACTGGACATGATTGCTGGGGCATTCGAAACTTCTACCTCTGTCATTTTGTGGGCCTTATCTTCACTGATAAGGCATCCTAGGGTTATGAAAACCCTTCAAGAAGAGCTGGAAACTGTGGTTGGAAGGAACAAAATGGTGGAAGAGACAGACTTAGCAAAGCTTCATTATTTAGATATGGTGATCAAGGAGACCCTGAGATTATACCCTGCAGGAGCATTGATCCCTCGAGAGTCAACGGAGGATGCGGTAGTTGGTGGTTACTATGTGAAGAAAAACACTCGAGTTCTAATCAATATGTGGGCAGTAGGACGAGATCCTAAGGTCTGGTTTAATGCCGAAGATTTCTGTCCAGAGAGATTTGTTGAGAAGAATGTTGACTTTCGAGGACTTGACTTTGAGTTCATACCGTTTGGATCTGGTCGCAGAGGATGTCCTGGGATACACATGGGTTTGGTTACAGTTAAATTCGTCGTAGCTCAATTGGTTCATTGCTTTAATTGGGAGCTTCCGTTGGGACAGGATCCGAATGAATTGGACATGAGTGAGAAATTTGGCTTGTCACTCCCAAGAGCCAAGAACCTGTATGCTGTGCCAACTTCTCGCATTAAGTCCCATTAAAACTTGTTTGGAGTGCCCTGTACCGACGTACAATAAATATGATATGTAGAGTGGCTAGTTTAATATTACCTCCGGTCTTAATTATAAGACCTCATTTATAATTTATAGATAATATCTTATGATTAGGACAGGAAGTAATAAATAAAATGGCACGTACCTATTCTGTTAGGTAGTCTCATATGAATATATATATACATAGAGAGAGAGAGAGTGATAAACAGAGTATTCTGCATCTCTGTTTGTTACGCCTGTGGGTGATGCTTGGGTAACTGGTTGGAATTGGAAATTAGTGACTGGAAAAATATTCAAAATAGTATTTCAAAATAATTGCTGGTTGAAAAATATTCATCGCAAGAGGCCAAAACATCAATATTCAAAATGGTTTCTTCAAAATTGGCAATGCCTGCCCTGCTCCTTTTCTGACATTCTTATTCAGGCTACCTTCTGCCTTCCAGAACATCCATTTTCCTCCAATTGTACGACGTCGTTTTTGCGAGCGGCACAGCTTATACCCCACGCCCCCCCCCTCATAGTCCATATGGAATCTTTCTATAGCGGGAATTGAAGGGGTCTTCTCAGAACTCTTCAAACATCCAAGAGTGATGAAAAATCTTCAAGATGAGATAAAAAGTATAGTGGGAATGAGCAGAAGGTTGAGGAACTACATTTAATGAAATTTAATTACTTGGATTTGGCGGGGAAGGAGACTTTCAGGCTGTACCCTGCAGGGCCACTGTTATTTCCTCGAGAAACAAGGGAAGATATCATAATTGGTGGATATCACATTGAGAAAAAATCAAGGGTTCTTATAAATGCATGGGCCATAGGAAGAGATTCCAATGTGTAGTCAAATAATGCTGAAACATTTTACCCAGAAAGGTTTATGAACAATGGCATAGAGCTTCAAGGACAAGATTATGAGTTGATACCATTTGGTTCTGGTCGAAGAGGTTGTCCAGGGATTCAGTTGGGTCTCAGGACAGTGAAACTGGTTATAGCTCAACTGGCGCATTGTTTTAATTGGGAGCTTCCTTCTGGTACGAGTCCTACAAATTTGGACATGAGTAAGGAGTTTGGACTCTCAATAACAAGAGCCAACCACCTACTAGCAATTCCAAGTTGTCGCCTGTCTAGTGAAGCATTTGAAGAATAAACCAATCTGGAAAATACGCATAATTTATATGTTTGAGTATTGGAAATAATCTTATTTGAAGCATTATAGGGCACTAAATGTAGATACTTCTCTTTGCGAGAATTCAAATATTGGTTTGAGAGATTAGCTCCTTCTACTACTACATGTATAATGAGACGTCTTGCCTATTTCAATATTTCAATATAGCATATATATATAATTATATACATTTAATATCTCCCTCTTTTCTTCCCCTGTTGAAATATCGACGAAAAGAAAACTTCAATAAAATGCCAATATCCATGTGTACTGTTTACGTACTAAAAATAAAAGTTTCTGAAGAGTGTGAAAACCACGAATGATGACATTATAAAACTCAGGGATTACGCTAGATGACATTGTATAATTCCATGTACTTTTACTGCTCCCTCCGAATAATTCTTAATATTTTCAAATTTATACAAAAAAATTTACTGAATTAATATTGCTTTCCATATTAGCGTTTTTTTTTCATCGATCTCTTACACATTATTTATTTGATCTCTTCTTTCGCGTTTATCTTCTCAAAACGATTGGAGGCTGAGATTTTATTTTCAAGCCTCCACTGGTGCCCCTCCTGGTGATGATAGCTGTCCCTATTTTAATTAATTCCAATCACGCTGCTGGCCGAGCGAGAGAGAATATTTTATTTCTCTGGAAATATGGATCAAATCGTTTTGTTGCTTTCCAATTTGATTTGATGGCTACTTCTATCTGAATATATTGATATCAATTTATCAATATTTATACACTTTGGACCAAGTGTCTTTCATCTCCAAAGCAAACAATCAATTAATCATGTTCGTTTAACATTAATCAGGGAGGGAGTCAAGATTCAAAAGTGAAGGGATCCATATTAAAAAGCACCAATATTTTTAATAGGCAACAGATTTAGATAATTTTTTTAATTTCTGTAAATTAATTATTTAGCTTTTAAGTACCACCATCCCTCCCTGTCACCGGAAATCAGCCTTCACATGTGAATGGCACAAGAGACAAGCGGCGGATCCATTTTCTTAGAAAAGTGTGTGGGCTCCATCTTCTGATCGCGTCAAAAGTAGATATGTTTATTTTGGATGAAAATTAAACTATAATTTTAAAATATATAAAATAAATATAAAAAATTATTTTAATTTATATAAAATATTTTTTTGAAGGTGTTTCTTTTACAATCCAAACACCCCTGAATTGAGGAAAGAGCTGAGAGACACGGCGAAGTCAATAGAGTGCGATGGTCCATGCAGTCGTGGACAACTGGACGTTAAAGAGGTGAATAGGAAAGTAATAGAGAACATGATTTATAGGATGATAATAAGAGGGTTGAATGTCTTCTCCTTAATCTAAACCATTTTCCTAAGGTTTGATATGGCCATCAAGATGGTATGAACAAAGCCTATGACAGATTGGAATGGAAATTTGTAAAAGAAGTAATGAGAAAGCTCGGGTTTGGTGAGAAGTGGATTACCAAGGTTATGGAATGTGTGACTTCAGCTAGTTTAAGTTTGCTGGTAGGAGGAAGGAAGGTGGCTGATTTGAACATGGAACGAGGTATTAGACAAGGGGACCCTTTGTCTTCTTATCTTTTTATCCTGGCTGCTGAAGCTCTTTCTGTGATGACACAATGGTTTGTGGAAAGGGAAAGATTAAGGGGTATTAAACTAGCTGCAAGTTGTCCTGCTCCATCTCGTTGCTTTTTTGCCGATGATGCTCTTTTTTTCATCAATGCAGAGAAGAGGAACTGTGAATTGTTGAAGAGCATACTTGACTGTTACTGTGAAGCCTCAGGTCAAGTGGTGAATTTTGATAAATCTTGTGTATTCTTCTCTAAGAATGCCAGTGATAGATTGAAAAAGGATATGTATGATGTATTGGGGATAAAGGCAAGTGAGAACCTAGGGAATTATCTGGGACTGCCAATGATTTGGGGGAGATCGAAAACTGAAGCTCTTTCCTTTGTGAAGTGCAAAATGAGTTTAAGGTTGCAGGGTTGGAAATAAAAGTTATTAACTTTTGCTGGAAGAGAAGTGCTGGTAAAGTCAGTGGCGAATGCTATACCTGTGTTTTCCATGTCATGCTTTAAATTCCCTCGAAAATGTTGTATAGAGCTTGACAATATGGTTTCCAAGTTCTGGTGGGGTCATGGGGTTCAGAGAACTAGAAGCTTTTAACTTAGCTCTACTAGCAAAAACAGCCTGGAGAATTGTGCAACAACTGGATGCTCTTTGGGTAAAAATGTTGAAGGGCATATATTTCCCGAATGGCTGTTTTTGGAAGCAAAGAAAGGAAATAAAGCAGCCTGGGGGTGGTTGAGTGTGTTAGAAGGAAGGGATCTGATAAAGAAGGACTTATGCTGGAAAGTTGGGAATGGTGAGAAGATTTCTATTTTTGAAGATCAGTGGATTCCTACTGCTGACACTTTGAAATTGAGAGGTAGAAGTTTGAATGACAGTTTAAAGAGCCTCAAGGTAGGTAGGTTGATTAAAGAAGGAAGGTGGCATTTCAATGAGGTTCAGGAAGCTCTTGATGATGAAGACAAAGACCTCACAGTGCATGTCAAAATTCCAACAATAAGCAGTAATGACAGAATGGTGCGGTTAAAAAGTAGAAGTGGTGAATACATGGTAAAACTCGATTATAAGGTTGCTCTGAATACATTGGAGGAGAATGCTACTGATAAGCCTAGTGGTTCTTATAAACCCTCCAAGAACTTGTAGAGTGGGATCTGGAATATTAAACTACCTCCTAAGGTGCTCCATTTTATGTGGAGGGCTGTGAATGGTGCACTGGCAACTAAAGAAGCTTTATACAAGAAGAAATGTTTAGCGAACCCCATATGTGAAATTTGCAAAACAAAAGTGGAGACTGTTGAGCACATGCTATTTCTGTGTCTATGGGAAAAACTTTTCTGGTTTGGCTCCTGCTTATCCCTGAAGTTTGATGAAAAGGGAAACTTTCGGTTTGACAAATGGCTGGAAGACTGGTCTGACAATAAGATGGGAAAGGATAAATAGAATTTGGCAATTTTCGCTGGAATTTGTTGCTGGATCTTGAAATCTAGATACAAGGTAGTTTTTGAAGGCGAAAATGTTGATGCCTTGGGCTGTGTGGCAAAAGCAATGAGGTTAGTTAGAGACTTTCAGAATGCTACTAAAAGGGAAGGAAGAAAGGAAGGGTGCAAGAGGAGTTGTGATAGAAATCAGAAGTGGTTGAAACTAGTTGCTAATATGATCAAAATTAATGTGGATGCTGCATTCAGGCATAACCCTAAGGAAGTTGCAATAGGTGTGGTGTGCAGAAATGGGAATGGAGATTTTATTGGGGGTTTGGGGAAGAAGGTGGAATCAGCCTCACCATTTATGACTCAGTGTTTAGCCTTACTGTCTGCTTTAGAGATAGCTGAAACAAAAAGCTAGGAAAAGGTAGTCTTTGAAATGGACTACCAGGAGTTGTATGGTCTGATGTAGAGGAAGGATGGGAAAGGGGGAGAATGGTGCTGTTCTGAGGTCGTGCAGAAGTGCATTGAAGTTCTTTCTGTTATGGCTTCGTGGAAACTATCCTTGGTTGACAGGAAAGGTAACAAGGCTGCAAATCTTATTGCAGCTGAGGCATTGAGGGGCATGGTACCTTCGAGGTGTTTTTTAAAGCCACCATCCCATTTGATTGCTATTTTGATTAATGATGTGAGCTCTAGTGGCCTGGAGTGCAGTGTCCATTCTGGCATTGGCTAAGTGTTCTTTTTATTTTGTTAGTTTGTTGTGTCTGTTTGTTTTTTTTTTGGGGTTTGTTTTGCTTTGGTGTGGTTTGTGTGTTAGATTGTATTCTAGGCTTTTTGAGTGTTTGGTTTTTCTGGCCTTTGGGTTGTTGGTGTTTGTACCCTTCTTTTGGTTATTAATAAAAT